GGGCCCGCGGGGGGGCCCGAGCGACCGGGGGGGATTTTGGGTGTGGGGGTAGGTCACTCCGGAGAGAGCCGGTGTGTGCTGCCTGCGTTTCCCCCCCCACCATATACCTCCACCCAGCTCCAGCACAAAGTATCCTTTTAGGCATTTTCTATCTAAAAAGAGTATTCCTATGGCATGTCCTCTCCCCTCTGCAGCCTCCCTACCCCCACAACAGATTTTAGCAGCTCTTTCTAAGGACAGCAGAGAAAAATTTTCTGCTAAAACACTTGCCCTTGACCCCCTACCCCCACTCCAAAAAGCCCCTATACAGTGAATACCCAGTGATTCCAGCTGGGGTACTGCAGCAGTCATGGATACAGAGCTAATAAAAGCACTCAGCTGGGCAAATATTTATAATCCTGTAATTCTGTATTACAAGGATATTCCTTTGTGATACTCATGTGCTCACCTACACAGGGCAAGATCTAGACTTGCAGTAGAGGCACTAAGTCTTCTGGCCAAAATGACGCTAAATCATTTCGTCTCCCCCTCCACAATTGAGGAGAGTTTGAGTTCAGTTTGGGTTCAGACCCAGAAAGGCACCAAAGGTAGAAGGCTCTGACCCAGACCCTCTCGGGGGGTTCTCCAAAGTGCCATGGTGCCCAAGGGCTCTTGATGCCGTGAAAGACGAAATCAGGACTCAATAGCCGGGATGACTATTAAGCAGGTATCCTTTATTGCAGCGCTGGACGCACAGGGGATCGCTCCTCCAAATGTGCGTACCAGACGGAGTCAGTTTGACAACATATATGCATACATACATACATATTCATGTAAGGAGTTTTAACATATTCATTAGTTTCCAGTAATTCATTACCATACGCTACCTCCTTCTTGGAATTCTCCATTTGTCAGAGCTCAGATAACCTTGTGCTGGCCTCATGATTGTTGTTGCCTACATGCCAGCCTTCCTGTCTTGTTACTTATCGTAGCTCTGCAGGGGTTGCAGGCCACTCTTTGTGGACAGTCAGGCTACATTTGCTAAGTCATACTTAGATAAGCAAACCTTCACGCCATTCCTGGCCTTATTCTTTAATTCACTCTGAATGGCCTTTCCCCCACGTCCACCTGTAGCAGCCAGACCCTCTCGCAGGCAGCTCTAGGGAACTTCATTTCCCACAAGGGCCACATCCCCAGATTTGAACATCAACACATGAGCCAGCAAGTCCAGCACCGCTGTGCAAGCATTACGCACTTCCTACCCTAAGCCCTATGCCTGATCTCCATATGAGGAACAGCATCATTACTCCAAAAGATCTGACCAGATACTGCTTTAAGAGAAAAAAAAAACAAAACAAAACAGCAATGAATTATTTCTTTACCCAGCACTTAGATACTCCAGTGCTCCGGACCCCAGACCTCCCAGCAAAGTCCAGCTGGAGGTATTATTTAGCCTTTTCCTCTAACCATCCATCTTTATTCAGGTAAATTAGGGTGAAACTTCTGTATTTGAGGTGACAGGTGGGACAATGTGCATTTTCTTAGCTGCTGCTCAAAGAAAGTGAGTGGGAGCCTGGTTTTCTCTGCTGGAGTATGCAGATAATGGCTGGAGGCTCTTGAAAGGCTGATAAATAGATGGGGCACGGAGAAGTGTGGCAGTAGGCCAGGATGCCCGGTGGGTTGAACCCCTCTTTCAGCGAGCTCTTGCCTTTCAGGGTTTCTTTCTTCTCCGGCAACACAAAAATAATGGGAGAAACCGAGGGAACTTCAAGAGGTTTATGCTGGCTCATGGGAGCTGTGTGGAACACAGCTCCCTCTCCAGATCCCTTACAGAGGCATCTGGACAGGTTGGATCAATGGGCCGAGGCTGATGGGATGAGGGTTGATAAGGCCCAGTGCCGGGTCCTGCATTTCGGTCACACCAACCCCAGGCAGCGCTACAGGCTGGGGGCAGAGTGTCTGGAGCTGCCCAGCAGAAAAGGACCTGGGGGTGTTGGTGGACAGCCAGCTGAACATGAACCAGCAGTGTGCCCGGGTGGCCAAGAAGGCCAGCACCATCCTGGCCTGTGTCAGGACCAGCGTGGCCAGCAGGAGTAGGGCAGTGATGGTGCCTCTGTACTGGGCACTGGTGAGGCCTCACCTCCAGGGCTGTGTCCAGTTCTGGGCCTCTCACTACAGGAAGGACATTGAGGTGCTGGAGCGTGTCCAGAGGAGAGCCACCAAGCTGGTGAGGGGTCTGGAGAACAAGTCCTACGAGGAGAGGCTGAGGGAACTGGGCATGTTGAGTTTGGAGAAGAGGAGGCTGAGGGGAGACCTCATTGCCCTCTACAGCTCCCTGAAAGGAGGGTGTAGGGAGGTGGGGGTTGGCCTCTTCTCCCAAGGGAATAATGACAGAACCAGAGGAAATGGTCTGAAGTTGGAGCAGGGGAGGTTTAGATTAGATATTAGGAAGAATGACTTTCCTGAGAGAGTGGTCAGGCACTGGAACAGCCTGCCCAGGGAGGTGGTTGGTTTTTGTGTCTGTGGGTGTGTGTGGTATGTGTTGTTTTGGTTTTGGGGGGGGGGGTTTGAGGTGGTTTGTTTTTTTTTTTGGTGGTTGGACTTGATGGTCTTTTCCAACCATGAATATTCTGTGATTCTGTGAACACTTTAATAGCTCTGTGTTCATTTACAGGGATGCTTAGAGCAGGTTCGTGTGCAAGTCAGCCATCACACAGTCCCCACTTAAATGTCACAGCAAATAAAATCTAAGGCAAGACACATCTTATCATCCTTGCCACAGGCTTAGGAGGATTGGATCCCCCCACACCGGCCACTGCTGCCCACCAGCCCATGCCCTGCACGGCCTGGATTGTTGCACTCTTTAGTACTTTCTCAGATTATTCATACAGTTCTTTCTCCTTGAGACATCCCTTGCCTAAATGGCTGGTTCAGACTGTATTAATCACATCCAGTTTAGAATTGCTATAGGCTTGCTATTTAAAATTATTTACTGAATAAGTTACAAATACAGTTCTTTGAATTTTTGTTTCTGTGTGCCGAGAAGATTCATTACTTGGCTTGGAAGTTTGAGACTATTTCTGTGCTTTTGTCAAAAATCAGTTTTTGTTAATGTCAAAAACAGCTCTATGGCATTTAAATACTCATTTTTCTCCATAAATGGATCTAGATAGAAAAAGTTTCAGCCACTCAGGCATTAGGAAGCTGCCAGCCATTTGCACTGGGAAGTTAACTGGCTGTATCGCTGTGGTTTAGTTATTCCCAGGTTTCCATGAGGCTGAAGTCTCCCTTTGAGGAGCAAATGGGAAAGACACTTCTGTACTTATCCGAGACAGGTGAGAATGCACAGAAGCCCACAAGGCACATGCAGGCTGGCCCCAGCCCACGTGTCACACCACAGACAGTTAAGGGGGGGCAGAGGCACAGATCCCAGGTTGGGTTCTGTGTGCCAAAACTCATCCCCTGCCTCTTGCCAAGGGTGATAGACTCTCTCTGTCCTGTGCAAATAAACACGACTGCAGCCAAGGCATTAGGGCTTTGCCAACCTCTGCTGTCACCCTGTGCTGCTGGTCGCGGCACTGCCCACGTCCCTGGCATGCAGCCATCAACCAGGGCCAGAAGAAGAAACCCAACAAGTCATGGACAAGTGGAGACAATATGGCTTTGACACCTGCCTGCCTCTTTAGCCAGATGGTGGAGCATCTCTCTAGCTGTTGCTCCCTGGCATCCAGTGCACTTTTTGCTCTTTCATTAAAGGTGGAGACCACCAGCAGCCACTGGTTGCCTTGAAAGCTTTATGCATATGCATAATGCAGAAGCTGAGCAGCAGAGGAATAAATAGGAGTGAACAGCGAGGAGACAACAAAAAGCACTGTAAAATCCAAGCAAAGTGCATCCCAGTGAAAGCAGCAAACATTAATTACAGGTCTTGATAGATCCGGAGCAGTCAAGCCATGCAGCACCCAACGACAGAAGAGCTCAGCACGCAGCACAGCCTGCTGTCTCCACTGCTGACCTGGTGGCATTTTCCCTTCCATGTTGCTTTGCAGTCAGGGAGCTCAGAACCCTGCCCAGCAGCCCTAAGGTCGAGCTGCCGAGCGAGAGGCAGCAGCAGCAGCTCCACCTTCTCTTCCTTGACATTTAACAGCGAGCTTCCCTGCTGCCGTGCTAGCCAGGCACAGGTGGAGTCCCAGGCCACTAAGCCCTACTAACGAAGGATCCAGTAAGGACGGGAGGTTGTTGAAGGCTGGGAGAGATCAGACCTAATCTCCCACAACCCCAGCTCCAAGTTCAGAACCTCAGAGATCTCAAGAAAAGGCTATTGCTGTTCCAGTTTCAAACCTGATCATGGCCAAACAGTTCTTGCTCCCTGGTGCATGTAAGTGCTCAGCACAAAGCATTGGTTTATCCCCATCACTGGTGACATTTACTCTACAAGCTTTCATAGGGGCCTTATTCAGCTGCCACGCTCGGTATTTTCCAGCAGCTTCTGGAAAGGCTGTTGGAGCAGGAGCTCAAACCATGTGCTGTAATTTCAGATAAGAGGCCACCTGAAGAAACCAAGGGCTTCTCTGAAAGAAAAGTCCGAGACAGAGCAGAAGTCCTGCCTGCACCCCGGCGTGACAGGCAGATACAGCAGCTTTCATCTCCCCTTTGAATTCTGCCTTCTCCCCCCTGCCCCTCTGCGCACAGCAGGGAGCTTTATTTAATTAAAAACTTCCAACAGTCAGGACCTGCAGCTTCACTTAGTGCAAAATGTCACATATGACTTACTCATATTTACTAATGACTGAGGGATTGAGGTTAATCCAAGGATTTGATGGCAGGAAGAAGAAATGGTGCTGCTGTTATAAGGATGGGAATTAGGCAGAGCAACCTTGCCTGCCCAGCCCAAAGAATGAAATGCCACTGCATTAATTTATATTTATTATAATGAAGACAAACATAAAATCACACCAGGTGATTTTTATAACAAATTTATGCCCCAGTTTGAAAATGCCACACTGCCAACAGCACCAAGGTAACACACTGGTCTCAACCGAGAAGGACCCGGGGAAACTCCTGCAATGTATGTTCACCCCTAAAAACACAACAAACCCCCTCCCCTCTGCAAGTTGCGGGGTGCAGAGCTCATGGTTTGGGGAACACAGCTCACCCACACGGCTAATAAAGCATCAATTCTCCCCCCCCTGCAGTGACTGGGGGCGGGGGCTCTGACCCGGGCGCTGCAACCAGGGCAGGAGCTGATGCAAGTACGGAGCTTCAAATGCATCATTTTATGTCACATCGATCTTAAGAGTGCTACACTGGCTCTTGCTCTAAGATAAAATTTAGGCTTTGATTTTAAATACCTCCAGAGCCTTCTCCAACTGCAGTTACACTAATGGGGAAAAAAAAAGAATCCCTTCTTTTAAAACACTCCTGCTTTAAAACACTCCTGCTTGCACCCTGAGCATTCCCTCCTCAGGGAGTATTTTTTAGGAATTACACAGCGCACGCAAAAAGAGACCAAGCGCAGTGTGAGAGCTCAAGTTTTTCCTGGTCCTATTCCTAAAGGCACACCCCTTAGACATCCAGGAAATCTCGTAATTACCTGGACTAACCTCACTATCAAGTACAATTCCTGCAGCATTGTGAGACCCAGCTCTGGAGCCTCCAACATGAGAAGGACATGGACCTGCTAGAGTGAGTCCAGAGGAGTCTATGAAGATGCTCCGAGGGCTGGAGCCCCTCTGCTCTGAGGACAGGCTGAGAAGAGAGTTGGGAGGGTTCAGCCTGGAGAAGAGAAGGCTCCAGGAAGACCTTATTACAGCCTTTCAGTATTTAAAGGGGGCTTTTAAGAAAGATGTGGACAAACTTCTTAGCAGGGCCTGTTACAATAGGTAATGGT